GGCTCTGTGGTTGAGCACCTGCCTTTGGCTCAAGTTGTGATCCCCGGGTCCTGGGATGAGTCCCCACATTGGGTTCCCTGCATGGAGCCTGTTTCTTCCTCTGCCTGTGTCTCTGCCTCTCTCTGTGTGTCTCTCATGAATAAATAAATAAAATCTTTAAAAACAAAGAAGACAAAACAAAACAAAAAAACCCCAAATATATAGCCTTCAGATAGTTTTGATGTGCCTTATAGATGGTGTTAAAATACAAACAATGAGGGGTAGATACTACACTTCCTCCTTCCACAGGGCTTCCTCCTGTCTAAGATGCTCCCTTGTTTATCTCCAGCTCAAGTTTTGCAAAGTAAGCATATCTGAGATCACAGTTCAAGGGTGACTTTGGTAAGAAAAGTCATTGATTTCCCAATCTAGGTCAAATCTCCTTCCTACATCTTTTCTTTATAGAACTGGCCAGAGTGTAATTTTATAATTTTTTGCATAGTTATTTCGTTTGAATCTGCTTTCCCACAAAATTGCGGGTCCCAAGAGGGGAAGGCCCTACTACTTTTTTTTTGCTCACCTTTGTGTCTCCAGGACCTAGCATAGTGCTTCACATATAGTAGGAATTTAAAAAATGTTTTGAAGATAAATATCACTCCTGGAATTATCTATAAATATAAGTTCTTTTTGTTAGACTTTAATATTTAAAAAAAAATTGTAGTTGAAAAATATGCTTGGGATCCCTGGGTGGCTCAGCGGTTTAGCACCTGCCTTCACACAGGGCATGATCCTGGAGTCCCGGGATCAAGTCCCGCATCAGGCTCCCTGCGTGAAGCCTGCTTCTCCCTCTGCCTGTGTCTCTGCCTCTCACTCTCTCTTTCTGTCTCTCATGAATAAATACAAAATCTTAAAAAAAAAAGAAAAATATGCTTTACACTTATTACAATAGAGTTAATGTGTGTTGGCAGCCTAGAGTTGAAGCTTGGTAAAATCCTAGTACTCTGACCTTCTGATTTGTTGGTAGCACTGACCTTAAAAATAATGAGTCCCAAATAGAAATTATATTTGAGACAAGCTACATTCTCCACGCTTCCTGCCGGGATAACTCTGAGGGCAACCAGTAGGCAATCAGGGATTGCTGACCTCTGTATAGTCTGTGAAATTTTGGTAACTGCTCTTAAGATAAAATAATCTTGTGTGTATTTTCTATTTCACTTAAAATAACAACTTTTTAAAAAGACGTTATTTATTTATTTATTTATTTATGAGAGAAACACACACACACACAGAGAGAGAGAGAGAGAGAGAGAGAGAGAGAGAGAGAGAGAGGGGCAGGGACACAGGCAGAGGGAGAAGCAGGCCCCATGCAGGGAGCCTGACATGGGACTCGATCCCAGGTCTCTAGGGTCACGCCCTGGGCTGAAGGCGGCGCTAAACCACCGAGCCACCCGGACTGCCCAGAAATAACAATTTTAATCTGTTCTCAGGAAAGCGCTATGTCCACTCCAGTAGACTCGGTTTACTCTGATGGCCTAGCGCTCCTGGCTGATCTCCAATACAGCTGAGCCTGCAGCATCCTGGTGCTTTTCAGGACTAAGTGGCTAGTCTTTTATTTTGCTTCTCAGCAGACAAGATTATCTCATCAAAGAGAATATTTATTAATAAATTGGCATTTGTATTGTTCTAAATGGCTCCCGACTGAGCCGAGAGAATTAAAGATAGAACTTCCTATTCTTTCTGATTCACCACAAGGGATAATAGAATGGATCCCTCCCAACATGAGGTTATTAATACGAGGGGGTAGGGTGCTTATTTACTGGGTACCAGTAGACAAAGGAATAAGGAAGAGCATCAATTCCTCATTCTCCCTAATTGCTTATGCTTCGCCCAGCAGTGTTCTCCCTCGGGAGGGGAGAGGGGGTGGTGACTAGAAGTACTGACAGGAGTCCCTCCTGAACTACAGACTATTCCTGGCCTATTTTTAAAAGGAACAAAGCCACTGAGTTATCTGTGGTTTCAGGATATCATCTAACAAGCAGGATGCACCAACAGGAGCCCACCCCCGGAGCACCCAGTCTCCTCTGCCACTGAACCATCTCCCTTTTCCATATAAATAAGCTAACACCTGTCTTCCCCTTCTCATCTCTGAGGGCATGACTGTCACAAACAAGAACTTTCAGAATTCCTTTATGAAGGCTTAGACTCTTGTGAATTTGGTTATTTTGAGTCAACTCTCTGATCCTGATCCTCTTGGGTACACTGACCAAGCTCAGAGTCTGGACTAGGAGGCCCCTGTTGGGGCATGTAACCAACTCCTCTGCATGTCACCCTCAGTTTACTTAGATGCAACCATGACAATTACAACAACATTCCATATATTTTAATAAACACTGTCCTGCTAGGAAGAGGTGGTAATGGTTTCCTTCCAGTTGGAGCTTTATTGTCTCTAAAGTGGGGGTCATGTCAACCCGAAACTCTCCGGGGAGCATGCTGTTGGAACTGTTACCTGGAGTAGGCCCCTCAAAGATGGTTAAGAACCTTGCTCTTAAAAACAAACAAACAAAAAAAAATAAAAACAAACAAGCAAACAAAAACAAAAACAAAAACAACCTTGCTCTTCCCTGAAAGGAGGAGATGTTTGCTTTTACATACAGAATTCCCAGGCCCAATCAGCAGTTGCAAAGATCAAGAAGAAAGGGTGTATTCAAAGAATTTTCTTGTTCTGTCTTTAGAGTAGATGCCCCAGATAAAATGCTGTGGGCCATTCATGATAGTAGGACTATGCTGGGAGAAGCTCTCGTTAATAGGAAGATCCTTGGTTAACGAGGAAAATGGGTACAGGGGAGCACTGAGGCGTCCTCTGCAGAGAAACAATGGGCCTCTTTGAAGCGCCCCTTGTTAGAGACCAACCCACTCCTGGGACTGAATTAGAGGTATTAAGGAATAGATTGTTTAAAAAAAAAGGATTCAGTTGCAGTAATTACATGGGCAAAGAGTTTGAAGAAGAAGAACAAACAGGAAACAATATGTATGACAATATTCCTCCTTGCTAGAAATCAGGGGGAAAAAATTCCAAAGAAAGTGCCTTCAGGATTCTGTTTGACCCTTCTCAAAAAAAGCAAGCAAAAAATAATATCCTCTATTACTGATGTGATTGTGATAAAATTGAAGTGAGAATACAGATGAAAACAAGAATACCATTTGGAGGGGCACCTGGGTAGTTTAGTCGGTTGAGTGTCTGACTCTTGATTTCAGTTCAGGTCATGATCTCTGGGTTGTGGGATTGAGCTCCACATTGGGTTCTGTGCTGAGCTTGAAGCCTGCTTGGGATTTTCTCTCTTGTTCTCCCTCTGCCCCTCCCCTCTCACTCTCCCCTCAAAATAAATAAATCTTTAAAAAAAATACCATTTGGAAAAGCAGAATGGTCATAACTAGCCATAATCTTTCCTTTAGTATACAATTCAATGGCTTTTAATATATTTACTGTGTATTTAACATATTTATTTTGTATAACCATTGCAATAATCTTGAAAGTCTGGAAGATATTAATATCCTTGAAGTTATTCCTGTGTCAATAACTAATAGTACTAGTAGTTATAACTCTTGAGTTCTAACTCAGGACCAAGCATTTTTCTTTTTTTAAAGATTTTATTTATTTATTCATTCGACAGAGAGAGAGAGACAGTGCACAAGCAGGGAGAGCAGCAGAGGGAAAGGGAGAAAAGCGGACTTCCTGCTCAGCAGGGAACCTGATGTGGGGCTGGATTCCAGGATCCCAGGATCATGACCTGAGCCAAGGCAGACACTCAGGCGCCCTGGACCAAGCATTTTTCAAGTGAAGTATCTCACAATTCTCTTAACAATCCTATGAGGAAGATAGTATTAGTGACCTTATTTTATAAAGGAAATATTGAGACAGAGAAGAAATTTGCCCAACGTACCACAGACAGTCATAAAACTAGTGTTAAAAAACGACATTCTCTTTCCAGAACCTGCACTTTTAACTACAACACTATTTTTTACAATTAATGTAAAAAAGCTCCATGTAGGAAGAATCAACTGCAAAGTTCTGTAAGGTCCAAAAAGGAATACATAAGTTTAATAAATTGTGGTAGGTCTACTAGCCAGGCACAATAAGGAAAAAAAGTAGAGCCCGTAGAATCAAAGAAAATAGGAGATTCTTATAGTGGCTATTGGATGAATGAATAAACCAGCCCCTGCCGTAGTCCATTTCTGGCCCCAAATGATCATCAGTTGTTGTATACCCAGGGCCAAGCCCCATGTCTCCACTCACAGGGCTTGCCCAATGCCTGTGGGAAGTGAAGGCTCCTCCTCCCTGGGTGAGCCATAGGCAAGTGACTCTGGAATCAGGCTCCATCTGAGCCGGGAGCCTTGGCCGTGGAGTTGGTCCCCACGACAAAATTTTGATGGCGTCTTCTGTGTATGCAAAAGATTGAAAAGACACCTGCATGAAGACAAAACTTGGCAGATGGGATGCAAAAATATAAATAGTTGCAATGTTTGTTGGGAGAATTATAGTTAATTGTTTAAAAAAATTTTTTTTCCATATTGTTATACTGACTTTTCAGCAACATTTTGTTTTTAAGAAAGGGGATCTTGACCTTCGTCTTGATGTTCTTAAGACAAAAATCCAATCAGGGACGCTTGGTTTGAGCGTCTACCTTCAGCTCAGGACATGATCCCGGGGTCCAGATTCAAGTCCCACATCGGGCTCCCTGCGGGGAGCCTGCTTCTCCCTCTGCCTCTGTGTTTCTCATGGATAAATAAATAAAATCTTTTTATTATTTATTATTTTTTAAAGATTATTTATTTATTTATTTCTTCATTAGAGAGAGAGAGAGAGGTGGAGACACAGGCAGAGGGAGAAGCAGGCTCCAATGTGGGACTCAATCCTGGGACTCCAGGACCATGTCCTGGGCCAAAGGCAGGCGTTAAACTGCTAAGCCACCCAGGGATCCCCAAATCTTTTTTTTTCTTTTTTTTTTTTTTTTAAGAATTCAATGCTCGCTTTGGTAGCACATATACTAAAATTGAAATGATACAGAGAAGATTAGCATGCCCCTGCACAAGAATGACACGCAAATCCGTGAAGTATTCCATATTTAAAAAGAAAATAAAAAATAAAAAGAATTCATTTTCTAAGGAATATCTTAGTCAGGACTATTTAACTGTTCTTATTTCTGGGGTTATACCTGCTTAGTTCCACCTTACGGAAAAAACCTTTTGGATGTTAAAGGGTCTGAGGATGGTTCAGGTGAGCACAGAAGCTGGGAGTGGGGAAGGGAAGAGTCACATCCCCTCAACCTGGAGCATCCAAATGCAGGGCTATCTTCTACCCTTATCTGAGACCCGTTCATCCAATCATCTATTCTCTCAACAAATTACTTACACTACTTGTGCTATTAATTATTTTGGGTATTAGGGTTATAGCAGTAAACAAGACAAAGTTCTTGTTCTTACCTAGTTTACAAAGCAAGTGACTAATGGATATATAAAATAATAGGAAAATCAAACAGGAAGGGAGATAGACAGTGAAAGCAGCATTTGTTTTACATAAATTGAGGAAAGCTCTACCTAAGTTAATGACTGATTGGAGCTTGGAATGAAGAGAGAGTTTAAGCCAGGCAAATGCTTGGGGGAAAAGCATTCCAGGCAGAAGGAACAGCAGGTCTCTGGAGGTGAGAGTCTGCTTCTTGCGCTCATGAAACAGCAGGAGGCCAGTTCACTAGACTGTAGTAAAGACAGAGAGAGCAGGAGAGCCTCAACCCTGGACGTGAGTGAGGCTGGAGGCTGGGTATATCAATAGAAAGGATGGTAACACGGAAGGTAGTGAATTGTCAGAAACTGAGTGTGTTTTGGCAATGGGATTGGATGTGGATTATAAGTGAAAGAGAGGAGGGAAGGATGACTCCAAAGTTTTTGGTCTGAACAATTGGGTAAATGTAATGTCATTTACAGAGACAGGAAACCCTGGGAGATGCAGTTTTTTTTTTGTGGGGCAAGGAGGGTTTGGTAGGTGGTTCATTTTAGACATGTTAAATTTGCAATGACTGTTGAACAATCGAGTAGAAATGTTGAGGAGGCAGTTGCAAATACATGTTTGGAGTTTAGGAAAAAAAGGCTTGAAAGCCTTTTTAATAATATATATATATTTTATATAAATATAGAAGTGTTCAGTATACAGATTTTATTTATTATATTATGGAAAAATTTTAAGCATATACAAAAGTAGAGAGAATAATATGACGGATATCTGTGTACCCATCACTTAGCTTTATCAATGATTAATATTTTATTAGTCTTGTCCCATCTTTCCTCATTCCTCCCTAGGCTGGAGTATTTTATTTTATTTTATTTTATTTTATTTATTTTATTTTTATTTATTTAAGTAATCTCTAACCCCAGTGTTGGGCTCTAATTCATGACCCTGAGATCAAGAGTCACACACACCCTCCTAACAAGCCAGCCAGGTGCCCCCAAGCCTGGAATATTTTAAAGCAAATTCTGGATATTTACTGTTCTTCCCGTAAATACTTCAGTAGGTAATAGACCATTTTTGAAGTCATGGGGCCAGATGATATTACACAGGGAATATGCATAGAAAAGAGTTATGAAGACCAACTCATGACACTCTGCCTTTAGAAGTTAGAAAGAACAAGCTAAGGGAACTGAGGAGCAGCAGGCGAGGTGCAGGGAAAGTGTTAGGAGTGTGAGGCCTAGTGAAAAATGGGTTTTAAGAAGGAGGGTCTGATCAGTTGTGCCAAATGCTGTTGAAAAGCAGAGAGACATGAGGACTAAGAGGTAACCCTTGGATTTCAGCAAAGTGGCAATTATCAGTGACCTTGATGAGAGCACTCTAGGGAGTTCTAGGAATATGAGCTTGATTAAAATGTGTTCAGGAGCAAATGAGAGGAGAGGCAACAGAGACTTGAAGTAAATACAACTTTACAAGGGATCTTTTTTCTGCAAAGAGGAGCTGGGAAATAGGGCAATCATCAGAGGAAGGTACAAAGTGCCAAGGAGGTATGTTTTTATGATAGGGGAAATTACAGCATTATTTATATGCTCATGGAAACACTCAAGTAGGGAGGGACATTCTGATGATAAGCAAGTGAGAGGGAATAAATTAATGAGCTAAGTCATGAAGTAGATAAGAGAAGTGGGATCTAGGGTTTTAGACCACTCAATTCAATAGCTAAAGGAAATTCTAAAGACCCCAGGCCTTGACTCTTGTGGCCGGGTCCTAGACAGAGGCATACTTTCTTTCTTATCAACACTGGTTCTGAGGAATGAACATCTTCACCCAGAAAATGTCTGGGGCTTATTGTTGAGATAGACAGGCTCTTCTCCCACTAACTGGAGTCATTTGGCTATGTCTTATCCATTGTAGAATCTACATCTATCTAGTGACTCCTTGTGTAAATAGTTCCTGTGCCCAGCCTCAGCTAGCCAGAGATGAAGGTCTCCCCAAGAATTGGCAATACAGTAGATCACATATTAAGAATAGAAAGTATTTTTGTCTCCCTTTATAGCATTCATTTTGTCCAAGGAAGCTGACTGTAAATCACAGGTTATTTGGCCACAGTGATAGTCCAGGGGTGGGCATGCAATCTAATACAACCCCATCATATGATTTTTAGGAATGCTAGGATCAAAGACTCCCTGTTTTCTGTAAGACGTGAAAGATAAAGTGTGTAACCCTGAAAGTATGGACATCAATCTTGGGATAACAAAAGAAATTGCGGGTTTTGTTGTTGTTGTTTTTAAAGATTCTTTTTTTTTTTAAAGATTTTATTTATTCATGAGAGACAGAAAGAGAGAGAGAGAGAGAGAGAGAGAGAGAGAGAGAGAGAGAGGACAGACACAGGCAGAGGGAAAAGCAGGCTCCATGTAGGGAGCCTGATATGGGATTTGATCCCGGGTGTCCAGGATCACGCCATGGGCTGAAGGCGGCACTAAACCACTGAGCCACCCAGGCTGCCCAAAATTATTATTATTATTATTATTCTTTTTCTTCTTCTTCTTCTTCTTCTTCTTCTTCTTCTTCTTCTTCTTCTTTTCTTCTCCTTCTCCTTCTTCTTTTTTTAAAGTAATCTCTACACCCAACATGGGGCATGAAGTCATGACCCTGAGATCAAGAATTGCATGCTCTGCTGAGGGAGCCAGCCAGGCGCCCCCAAAAGAAGGTAGTTTTAATGAAGTCGGCATTTTAGAAGGCAGGGACTAAGGGATTAAATGAAATTAGATCCTCGTTGAGTTGTTGCAAAAAGCTGTCAGCATAGCTCTAAAAATCTAGATATGTGGAATAATAAATTTCCTTTACTGCTCAAGCCAATTCAAGTTGGATTTTTCATTACTTGCAACCAAAAGCATTCCAACTGAAGCACAAAGAAAGGCACAGTTCCTTAACTGGGTTATTCACTTATTAAACATGTTCAGTTTTAGTATATGTGCTGCTGAAGCAAGCACAAACATGTTCATATTACAATTTTGTGTGCCATGCACTAGGGATACAGTAGTAAACAAAGAAAATTGTGTCCTCACAGTCTGAAAACCCTAACCCTCCCAGCTACCTTTTCCTTGAAGAGCTTTGGCCCTTAGTTCTTAGTGTGAGCTTTAGTGATCAGCTCTTGTCTCTTCCTACAGCTACCACCTCCTGCCTTCACCACATGGGACTTTTTCCAGCCAATTTTGTCTCAAAGTAGGCTTATCTTCCCAGCGTTCCTTGTTCTTGTTACTGTGTCAGTTGGGGATCAATCAGAGTAACAGAAACTACTCTAGATATTTTAAGCAGGAAGGAGTTTATTTCAGGAAAAAGCTGTTTTACCAAACCATTAGAAGAGCTGGAGGATTGAAGTTAGGAAAAGTCATCCTTTGCTCTCAGATTCCCCACTAGATTCCAGAGTAAGAAGTGGGCAGTTTGTGGGAAAATACCTGGAAGCCACTGCAAAACCTCTTACCTTCTTGTTGCTGCCTGAGCAACAATAATGTATGGCTGCTGCTTCTTGGCTTTTTTTTTTTTTTTTTTTTTTTTTTTTTTTGCTTCTATCCATATCTTCTGAATGATTGGCTGGCACTAACCTGAACTTCACTGGGAAGGGATTTTGGAAAATATAGATCCCAAATTTCCAGTCCTTGTGATATGGGATAGCACAGAGGAGGGTGAATTTCCTATAGACAATCTGGCAAAAGAAGACAATCCACAAAAGGAGGAACCTAACTGCTTCCTTTTAAAGGTCTATCTGCTAATCACAGCTTAGATGTTTTCTGAAGACATTGAGGATTTGCCTGGAGCAGGCTCCTGGAGGGAATATTTAGCCTCAAAAAAAAAAAAAAAAAAAAGCAGATCAGATCTGCATAAAAGGTAATGTGGGTGGGGGAACAACAGCTTTATTCTGGGATGATTCATGTTGTGTACTCCACCTTCATGATGGAGTTAGTTATAGAGGTCCTTGGACGGCCTGCCTACTCCCCAGGAAACTTCTGAGGAAGCCTGCCTGATGATAATGATGCATACCTCCTGTTCACATAGAACTCAAGGTTAAGGGATAGGTCTATTGAAAAAACACACAGGCAGAGGAAACTCGGGCTAGCTCTCCCTATAGGAATATGAGTGGGCAACCAGGCATCCACAAAATAAAAAAAGCAAGCAAACAAAGCAATTTCTCCATAAAGGAATGAGACTTGTCATCGTTAGTAATGAATGTCTTCAAAGTTTTGAGGGAATAATTATTTGAACCCAGAATTGTTAAGGAGCAATAGAGCCAGACATTAGTTAAAATCAGTAAAGGCAAAAAAAAAAAAAAAAAATCAGTAAAGGCAGATTTCATTCAGTACTATTGCAATAGAGCAGAAAGGCTTCAGTAAAACTGAGCTGAACTCCAAATACAGGAAAGACAGCTGGTGATTTAAAAGCAATGAGCAAAGTGGGGGTGGGGGAAAGTGGGAACAGAGTCAATGGAGTGAATATTATTAAGAGAACTCAGGAATAAGGAGATTATTCTTTTTATTTTCTTAAGATTTTATTTTTGAGGGATGCCTAAGTGGCTCAGCAGTTGAGCACCTGCTTTTGGCTCAGGGTGTGAACCCAGGGTCCTAGGATCGAG